CCAACTTTATCTTCTGTAACTGACACTGTAAAACTGATTGTAATGTGACAACACTGTAAGTGAACCCAACTTAAAACGGTAAATCACAAGTGTCCTGACAAGTGTCAGAGGTGAGTTTTCAAAAATTAATCCGGTCCATCAGAACCAAAAAGGCGGAGCAGAAGTCTGCTGTGCTGAAACAGAGTGATGCATTCAATGTGTGTCGGACGTCTCTCTCTCTATAATGAATTTGCTCAATTTGGTCATCCTATTTGTGGTTAACTACTTTTATAAACTAACTACAAAGTTGATGTGCGTCATCATCAATATTCTCTCTGTAATAAATCTGTTTGTATTGAAATAAAGATGTGTTAAATGTGTGAGAGAGTCCCGTCCCAGAGGACAGTGAGTGTTGCAAAGCACACTGGGTAGGAATCATGTGTGCAATGTTTTTGACTATTTATAATGTTTCTGAATGTGAAAATGGGTTTTTCATGTTATTTTCCTGTTCTGGTTAGGCATTTATGTTAAATTATTTGATGTTGGCCAGAAACTGTTTACAATAGATATGGGGGGGGGGGGGGGGGAAGCAATGCAAGCGTTCTGACATTACCTGGTGATGCTTAGCTTTGTTTAGTTCTGCATATCATTATAGCATAGCATAGCTCTGTGTAAATCACCATTCTCTTGTTTGCTTTAAGTGCTGAGAAATGTCTTTGAAAAATAGCGGTCATGAATTTGTCGGACTTAAATTTAGCGGAAGATAATTCTGGTTTTCAAAACGTTTTTCAAAGTTAGCAAAAAATGTTAATCTGCTTAACGGAAAATTCGTTCCGCTATTAGCGAATTAGCAGAACTGTGCACACCACAACCGACAACCTTCTCATCTCTAAGAATTGCGCCACCATACGGTCCACATATAAAGCAGTTATCATTTCATTGTTTTTATCACCTACTTCAACTTTTAAGCATGTTTCACTCTTTTATACTAAAGTGGCATTGTATATTTCATTTAATGTAAGGTATTTGTTAACAGCTATTGGACAAAAAGCAGGAAAAAAGCAAGGAGCTGATTTTAAAGGCAAGTGGAAACTTAAAATAATCAAATCAGATCTTATAACTTCAATTTAATGTTTTCAAATTGCTATGGCTTGGAATCCTAAATATCTAAATATAAGATTTGTATGCAAAAAGTAGAAAACAGTCCAATTATTGCTTGAAAACACGTAAAAATCGTTTTGTTTTTGTGCCTTAGAGGTAAAAAAGTGAAATATGCATCCACAAATAACCAGTTATCGCCTTACAGTTTGCTAAAGTCCCACTTTCTCCACAAGTCTTTTCCAACCAAGCAAAACAGAACAGAGATGAGTTTGGAACCATTCTCTTAAGTATGCAAATTCATTTTAGGACAGCCACATAAATTTGGTGGCTTTCAGAAGAGTGAGCGATGCCAGAACAATATGCAATGAGTCCTCATCCAGTAACAGCTGGCATCATGCAACATAGGCTTGTGATGGCAGTCTGAGCTTGTGATTGGAGGAGAAGGACTGCTTGTCCTGCTCCTGCCAGATAGTGGAAGATATTTCCTGCTTGGGTACCAGAGCAACAACAGACAAAAGGAGAAAAATGGAGCAAGTGAAAATGTAAATGTCATATCCTGTCCTGCTGTTACAGTAAGGATTGTAAAGACACACCTGAGCTGGGACAGTTCTGCCTGGATCTGCTTCACTGTTTTCTATAAATCTACATTCAGCATATTGAATAAAGGAACACCGACAAACAGCATTTTCTTATTTCTAGTTTGAATACCCCTAGAAGGGATTTTGAAATTTGATTTAGTTGATATACAGTTTCAACAATCTGCTATGAGTGATCATTAAATATAAGATAAGTGCACATAAAAGCTTTAAATATTATCAAGACCAAAAAAACTGTCAAAATAAATTAAGCTACTACATTTTATTTTCTTAATAAATGAAAAACACAAGCAGGTACATAAGGTAAAATTTTTCATTTTTTATTTTTATTTTAATTTGTCAATTTAAAACTATTGTTTGACACAATTACTATATAGTTTACCTAACTGAATTTACAGAGGATGAATGGTTAATCAAGTATTTTAACTTGTTGTGTTTATTTCAATATATTGAAATTGGTCTTTTTTATGCAGAATTGTTCATAGTGTTAAATTAAATTATGATTATGGTTAACTAGTGAAACGTGATTGCTCTTTCAGAGAAAACCACAGCGGTGTGCTTTTCCACAAAAATCAACAGAATAGGCACAATGTCACAAACTTCCTTTAAATGACTTATTTTTAGATTAAAACGTTAAATAAAAAAAGTCACTAAATTTAAAATACTGAAACGCTGCATCTACAAAAATTGAGATTTTGCTTTTTGTCAGATCCTCCCTGCAAGGACCTCAGCACTTGATAAGAAGAATAAAAAAAAATCAAGTTTTTTGATGCTTTAAACTGTTAATATTATGTTCTAAAATAATAAAAAAAACATAATGTTCTTTCTACATGTAAAAAGAGAATAGAAACTGATGTTGAAGGATTTTTTTGTTGAACCTCCAGGCATTTTAGGAAAAGAGAGCAAGTAAAAAGCACGTCGCATTCATTCATTCAACCTTTATTTATACAGGTTATTCCCATTGAGCCTCAGGGACTCATTTACAAGAGAGACCTGATTTTAACAAAGAGTGATGACAACAGTGGAACAACAAAGACAATAACAGACGTGTATAAATTAAGATTTTGTTTTTGTAACAAGTGAAAATAAAATGTTATTTAAAAGAAAATGTAACCAAAAAAAAGCAGATAGCTTGTAAGACGTAACATAACATAACATGAAATAAATAAACCGACACATTCCAACTAAACTCAACACAGAACAACAAACAGAAAAATACATATCCCTGACAGAAAACTTTTACAACTTTGAAACAATGTAAAAGGGTTGATGTGGGGAGAAACAAAAAAATACTCCAGTTTAGTCATTTTGGACTAACCTGCTAAACCTGCTAACACACCCACTTTGTTCATGTGAGTCGTGGAAGACGTCAAGACTGTTGTTCATAACAACCACAGTCTGAGGGTGAAAGTGTCTGTTCCCAGTACTCCTTAGAGGAAAGCCTTCTCCACGGAAAGAGGAGATCCAAACTGACAAGAGAGGCAACTCTGAAAGCAAAGGGTAAGACCATTACTCTTTTTCTCGTCTCTTAATGGCTTTCTTTTGCTTCCTTTCCAAGTCGCTTTCATGGCTGAGGAGGGTTATGGAATTTCATTACTCATGATTGAAAACCAATGAAGTTTTGAAAGCAGAAAAGGTGCATTCAAAATGCCAGGATACCCTCCAGATGCCAGCAATCTAATTTACTGTCAGTGTTAATAAATGAAAAAGCCACCGGATGGCACAGATAAGTTGTTATTTCACCATCAAGGTTATCACGTATTATCTGATAATGTCTGTGGGGAGCAATTGTATCTGACAGTTAAAACAGAATGCCTCAACTTCTGGCAGGAGAGATGATCGTCAGTGTGGAAGGATTGTTAATGTGTCAAATCAATGTGACTTCACCCCATGAAGTGCTCATAAAGGGACTGAAGATTAGAGTGTGGTTCTAACAAGTCACTCGTGTGACTCGTCTGTAATGAAACATATAATATTCTTTTAATATCGCAAGTTGTATGTTGTAAACATGGGGAATTATCTATTGTTTTCAAAATCAAGAGTGCCGAGTCCATGTTTAGAAACATAGATGAGTTATTCATGGTGAATACAGACCATGCCATCATCGGCATATCGTTTTAAAGAGTTCCTGTAAGAATGTAACCAGGGCAGGTGCAATCATACTTAAAACAAAAATATGGAGATGACAAACACACCCTGTGTGTGCAGTCATTATATCTGAATGATTCACTTACAAGACATACACAACAAAAAACAGAATTATGTTTTTGGTTAGTAGGGAAGGCAAATCTTTTAGGCACCTCACTATTCAATTACATTTGTAGAGTGTAGGAATGGCTGAGCAGTACATCTTTGGCATAGGTTGGTCATTTTCAACTGTGGCTCCAAAGGGAGCAACATAAGGTATTATCTCATTAAGGGTATCTCAGTATCTCACCGCTGTATGGTCTGGAGACAGTGACATTGACAAAAAGACAGGAGAAAGAACTGGAAGTGGCAGAAATGAAGATGTTGAGGTTCTCCTTAGGAGTGACAAGGATGGATAAGGTTAGGAATGAAATCATCAGAGGTACAGCACAGGTTGAACAACTGGGAGTTAAAGTTAGAGAGGCCAGACTGGGATGGTTTAAACATGTCCAGAGGAGGGACAGTGGTTATACTACTAGAAGGATGTTAGAAATGCAACTACCAGGAAAAAACAATGAGGAAGGCCAAAGAGATGATATATGGATGCAGTTAGAGAGGACATGGCGGTAGTTGGAGTGAGGACAGAGTGAGATGGAGGAGGATGACTCGCTGTGGCGACCCCTGAAGAGAGAAAAACTGAAAGAAGAAGAAGATAAGGTAGTAACGCACTAGGCTGTGGCTGTTGGAGACTGGCTGGCAATTCAAAATTTGGAAAAAAAGAAGAGAAAAGCAGAAAAATTTCAGTTGCACTGAATCTAAATGTTTGACCAGCAAATCACATCAGTACATTTGCATAATCATTAATTAACAACAATGTAAATTTTGTGTAGACAGGTTAAAAACTGTATTCTAGGCCATGCACATTATTTGTTGCCCATCTACCCACACATCACACCCCCCTTGGCTCACGGTGTTCCTGCCTTGGCAACCACCATTTATAATTTAACCACTGGATTAAAACCAGCTGATCTGGGCCAGTTGTTGGGTTTTCTGTGTTCTTCTTCTCCTACACGTCCCTGCGTTTCTCTTCCTTGTGTCAGCTCCTGTCTCACCTGACTACAACCGTAGTCACCCCAGGTGTTTGTCATTCTGTCTCGTTAGTGTCTGTATAAAGTCAACGTCTCTCTGTTCCTCTTTTGTCCATGTACTGTTCTGTCCTGTGAAGGTTTCATGAGCCGTCTCTGGGTCCGCTTGTGGTCGGCTCACTAAAAAGTAAGTGCTGAAGTCAGTGTTTTGTTTTGGAAAGTAAACTTTAAGTTCCTTATTTTTACCTGAGAGTCTTGATTGTCTGCATCCATGTGGGTTCTACAACATTACAAGCAGAATCACAATGCCGGTGTTCTTTGAAATAAAACTCCCACAAACGTCTTAAAAAAAAAAATGGCATCAACACTTACCCACCAACAGTCACTTCAACAGTTTCTTTTAGAAATGGAAGCAATTACTGTCTCACTTTTCCTCTGGGAAGAAATGTATACACAAACTACATTTCGTGTTGTTGTTGCAAGGTGTTTGTTAAAAAACACTCATAGAAGCTGAAGTACTTCCAAGTTTTCTATGTTGTACACACGGTCTGACTGCTGAGCTTCCTCACTTCAAAATTCTACATTCTGTGTTGATCATGATGCTATTTGCATTAAATAGTTAAATCTTTTGATATATTAAAAAGGATTAGGAGTTTATCTTTGACCAGTGAGATAAATCTACGAAAAGAATACTACTACTCCAATTGAGTACTTGAGGTTGTTCTCAAAAAAAAAAAAAAAAAAAAAAAAGCCAAGAACAAAACTTTAGGAGTCGAGCCTTTTTATGAAAATGACCAGCTTGCCTCTCCTCCACAGATCTTTAAACGGCCATCCGGACGCTTCATTCTTCAATTTTACTCCTTTTGAGCTAAACGAGCATCATGGGGAAAGGTGCGACTGAGGAATGGGATGAAATGCCCAAACAAACGAGGATGACTCAGCCACAAAGTTACGAAGACACGAGCACTAAGAAGAAAGGTGGCTGCCCCAAGTGCTGCTTGAAGACCCGAGACTGCCTGATGAGTCCTGAATGTGGCAGAGCCCTCCAAATTAGCACTTGCGTTGCCTTCTGTGGGTCATGCATTCGCATGTGGGTGTGATGCGTAAGTATCAGAAATGACAAATCACTTTTTCTGATGCTGATGGTTCATAAAAGCAGGAATAAAATTGGGGATTTTTTTTTTTTTTTTTTTTTTTTAACACTGAAGATGACACTTTTGTAATTTTGTTCCAATAAAGGGAAGCATCAGGACCTGTTCCGGGTGGAACAAATCTAAAGTGGACTCGAGTCTCCTGTACACCTGAGTCATGCTGGATTTCTCCTAAATCAAAAACGAGGAAAAATATTTAACTTCCTTTTTAACACTTTACTTTCAGAAGCTTTTTTTTATATGACGTACAACAAAGGTAGCAGTATTTCACAAAAGCTTGTAAATTTGAAGTCTTAATTGCTTTTATTTAACTTTAAAACTCAATGTGATTTTTAGTCAATGTTAAGTGTGAAATGTTTAACTTTGTAAATTATTGTAACTTTCTAAAAGTCAATAAAGGCATTTTTTCTTGTTTTAAAAAAAAAATAGCTCAATCCTTTCAAATCAGCAATAGACATGCATTAAACTTTCACTAAGTAGGCTACTGATTGTTGTTCATAAAACTTTATCAACCATATGGGCACCAGCGACCACCCACCCCCACCCCGGCAATCCGAAAAGGTAGAAGTGGGTAAAACAATGATGGATGGAAGTTATTTGCACTTCTGAAAATGGTGATATCTTTACAAAAATTTAATTTCCCATGCATTGACATGTATTCTAAAGTTAAAACTACAAAACATTTCAAAAACTAATTTTGATTTGACAAATGTATCAAATGAAGTAGTAAAAATTACCATCTTTTTGAATAGTGTTTTTAGCTCAAAGTATGTTGAATAGATGTTCAGAAACTACACTTTAAGGAAATTTCTCTTTAGGTGAATTGTATTGCCATGGCAACTCAAATTTCCCCTTAAGTAATAGCGCACATCCTGCAACCGAGCCAATTGACTGGATTGTGTATGAGGTGCACACCTCAGTTTTTCATTAGACGATATTCACCTCAAACGATAAGTGTATTACAATGAACTGATAGGCTCCAACAAGGCAAAGCGTTGAACTTGGACAACAATAGACACATCTCATGTGACATCCCGTGAAAGAACCACTAGTTGAATGTAAATCGGACCCATTGAGATTCCATGAAGGAAAATTTTTTGCAAACTTTGAAATAAGCCTTCATGCAGCTCAAATCGTTAATTGTTGCAGTATAAAGATGCATTGTTTTAAAAAAAATAAAATACTGCAAATTGTGGTTTATTTGCTAACTTTTGACTCTTCTGCTTGGGTCAAAGTGTTAAAATCATCCTTTTAGCTCAAAATTCAAAAACCTATTTTAGTTAATCATTGTTAAATCTATGTAGATGTTTTTTCAAAGTACTGAAGGTCAAACATTTAGGGTGATAAAGGCTCAAAGACAGTTTATTTTTACTATTCGGAAGAACTCCATTTATTTATATGTAGATATTATATATATATATATATATATATATATACACACATACATACATACATACAGACTCGGTACAATCAGATTTATTTAAGCCTGTAGGCTAAACACAGCTAGAGGTCAAAAGAGGGTCATATTCATTTTGAGGAAGGGCAAACATAAATGCGAAGGTAAGTGGGAAACAGATGGATGAGTTTCAAGAGTGTCAACAGTTCACTGCTGGATATAACCTCAAACTAATGGTGCGCAGCTGGTCGACAAGAAGTAAATCTAGGTCAGGTGGTGGGCAGATGCACATCTTTCACATCGGTGAGAAGTGAACAAGTGGCCAATTTGTCGAGGCAGCAAATGGTGTCGAAACTATTAGGGTATATACCTTTTTCAATTTGTTTTAGTGATTTCTGATATAATGAATGTAAGGAAGGAGTGGGACCTCCTTAAAAATGTCTTCAACTCTCTATTGTTGCAATATAAATTATGGAGATAAAAATACAAGCTATAAAAATCTACTTGAGAAAGATGAAACGTGGCAGAGGCAGGTGTAGTTCGAGGTTATGGGTTTACTGTGAAAGTATTGGAGTGTTGTGATGGAAGACGAACAAGAAAAAAAGTAGAGGAAACAATTACTTTAATGAGAGCTACATTTAAGTTCTGTTTCTGCTTTACAGAACCAGCGTGCAGACCTGCAGAAATACAATGCAGCTTTCATTAAAACACGTTTTCCTGACAAGTCAAAGTATCTGCTGTAAAACAAGATTATTTATCAGGTGCCATTCATCAAGACTAACGGGACATAATCTAAACAACTGTCCATTATCTGAGCATCCACACGTCGAGTTGGCCTCAAATAACCTAAAACAAGTGAAAACCCTAAAGATCAACGTGACTGTATGACTCTTGTTTCTGTGAATCTAAATGTGGCTGATTTTGATTTAAAAACCAGAGATGTGCATCAGATTTTTAAGTTTGGATCCGAAACCTGGAGCGTCTTGGTGAGTGTTGTCAGCTGAAAAACTGGTTCATGCATTTGTCACGTCTAGACTGGACTGTTACAATGATTTGTTATCTGGGTGCACAAATACTAATTTAAAAAGTCTTCAGTTGATTGAAAATGCTGCTGCCAGAGTTTTAAGAACAGTTAGTAGGAGAAATCTTATCTCTCCAGTTTTGGCTTCTCTCCATTGGCTCCCTGTCAAATTCAGAATATAATTAAAAATATTACTTCTAACCTGCAAAGCTCTCAATAACCTAGCTCCATCTTATATTACAGATCTTATTGTTCTATATTTTCCCAACAGACCGATTCGTTCTCAGACTGCAGGTTTCCTTTTGGTTCCTAGAGTTTCCAAAAATAGAATGGGAGGCAGAGCTTTCAGTTATCAGGCTCCTCTCTTGTGGAACAAATTTCTAATTTCAGTCCGCGAAGCTGACACATTGTCCAGTTTTAAGACTTTCCTTTTTGATAAATCCTATAGTTAGGGTTGGCTTGAGTTTCCTGAGCTATTCCTTAGTTATGCAGCTATAGTTAAGACTGCTGGAGGACAAATTGACCTAATTCCCTCAAATGAATAGTTACAAATGAATACAAGTGAATAGATTGTATTTGTAATTGTTTTGATCATAATATGTTATTTTTTGTTTCTTTGTTTCTTCCTAGAGATAGACCTGCTCGCCTCCATTCTGGACCTACCATTCTGGGTCCATTTCTCCTTCCTGTCTTCTCAAACCCAGCTGGTCAAAGCAGATGACCGCTTGTCCTGAATCGGGTTCTGCTGGAGATTTCTTCCTGTTATGAGAGAGTTTTTCCTTTCCACTGTTGCCTTTGTGCTTGCTCAGAATAGGAAACTGTGACGAAATGATGACTCAACGCAATCTGGCAGCTTCCGATAACTTTCCTTATGGGCGTTTATAATGCATGTGAATGTTTCTGTTCAGTGCCCTGGCACTATATAAATAAACTGAATTGAATTGTCATTTATTGCTGAACAGGATAACAAACTTTATCTCTGGCATGAATTATGGTTATACTGATGGACAGTTGAGTTGTACTGATATTTGCACACTGGTCTACATTTAATTTCTCTTATTAGAACCAAATGTTTCCTAAACCAAAACTGTTTTTGCTCAAATACAAAACAAAAAGGTAAACATTAGCAAAAACATTTTTTTTTAAGTGTTGTATTGTTATGTGTGTGACGTAAATGGAAAGCTTTCTAGACTGGTCTGAGCCTCTGGTAAATCTCTTTCAGGGTCTCACTCCTGCAGAAGTGACATTTCAAAACAACTTGTTGAATGGAGCCAGGTGAGAGATTCCAACACCTTGCATAATGAACCAAAGAGCAGCTTGTATTTTCACAGTTAATGTGCAAATTTGAACATCGCTTAAAAAAAAAAAACTGCCAAAATAGACAAATCCTTGTTTTTCTTCTATTTGTGATGTGGAACCTTTACAACTTGATATTTTAGCTATAATATTCAGAAACACAACTGAGAAACTGCAACTAAACTACAACTTGATATATTGGACTTGCTATAGGGTAAATAAAGGTTAAATAAATAAAGTTTTGATCATGCTTAGAATGATATAATGGTTATCAAAAGCCAGCTAATTTTAATTTTGTCTTGTTATTTCCATCTTTTTCTGCTTAGCATTACTTGGATTCAGTTACCCTTCTGTTCCCGCCTCTTGTGTGCCACTGTGTCAGGGAAGACATCACGATACAGGGGTGACATTTCAAGCCGACAGATTAAGGCCTCTCTCCAATTAATTTTGCTTTCCTTTCCCTGTTAAATACACAATCAGCCAAAGGCAAAATGTCACTGAAACAAACGAGGAGTCACCGTGTGGCTGACAATTACCACCAAGCACCTCAGAAATGCCAATATGTTAAAGTGGGAGCAGGGTGTGAGATGAATGAGTCCAAAAGGCAATCTCTGAGGAGCCGTGTTGCTAAATCCAGAATGAATACTATTACTCACCAGTTTTATCTAATGTTACGATGGCTGACAAGTCAATGTAAAGATTAGATGGTCCTCAAAATGTAAAGGTGTGGAAAAATAAATTGTAGTACCTCGCTACTTCGCAGTTCTTTTATAGCGCACTCGCTCTATTGCGGTTTTTCAAAATAAGATTGGACATGACACAACTGGCTGAGCAGCCCACACTGCAGGACAAACTTCCTGCTGCAGCTGATCAGCTGTTCACCGTGCAGAGCGGAGGTGGGCGTGGCCAACAGCGCTTGCGGGTGGCAAAGAACAGACGAGGCAGGGAGCTGAAATTATAACACTTTGTGCTCTTTTTGAGCATTTAGAGTTTCAAAACATTGTTTAGAATATTGCAAGAGTGTGGTTGGAAAGTCGTCGGTTGACCGACAACATCAAAATGTAGGTGGGGAAAGTTGATACAGCCACATCTGCCTCCACCCTCATCATATCAAGTCATGTCAGTACTGAGACCATCAAGCCCTCTTACCGTACTTGCCACCATACACGTCACAGCGCCGTATAAGTCGCATCTATTATACATCACCGCTGACGCGTCTCGTTTGTTATGCTGCCCCGCTGACCACCCGTATATATGGGTTGGTGTTGTGCCAAAAATTGATTGGCTGCCAACAGCGGCCACGGGAGCATGCACAGGAGGACTTTAACAAGAATTTAATAAGATTAACACCTAAAATATATATACAGGTATTTGTTTGTTCAACATCATAAGAAAGGTGTGTCTCAGTTAAACTTTTCCTTAATAAAATGCACTGTAATGGTCAAATGAGCTGCATTTTGCCTGGGCTGATTTGACGTTTGCTCCAGGAGTTCCGGAGCAAGACGAAGGTGGTTTTGTATGGCAAGCCAAGTGGCTCATTAATA